GATTTGGCCACATTGCTGCAGATTGTCCTACTCGAAAGGTTGTCACCATTTGAGAAGGATCAGGTATGAAGCACTTGAAGAAGATGAAAAGGACGCTGAGTTCTATGGCATTGATCCCGTATATGACGAGGAGGTCACACCTACTAATCAAGGAGAAGCATTGGTGCTTAGACGAAGTTTGCATACAACAATAGTCAAAGAAGAACCTTGGCTACGACACAACATTTTTCACACTCGTTGCACGGCCCAAGGAAAAGATTGTAATGTCATCATTGATAGTGGAAGTGTGAAAATGTAGTATCTGACTGCATGGTGGAGAAATTAAAGTTGCCAACACAAGATCATCCACAACCTTACAAGCTGCACTGGCTCAACAAAGGGAATGAGGTAAAAGTTTCTAAACAATGTCTTGTGACCTTTTCTATTGGGAATCGACATTGTGATGAAGTTTTATGTGATGTTGTTCCCATGGATGCATGCCACCTTCTCTTGGGGAGGCTATGACAATATGACCGACATGCTATGCACAACGGGCGAGCGAACACTTATTTTTTTACAAAAGATGGTGTTAAGTTCACACTAGCGCCTCTACCACCCAGTGAGATTAGCCAATCTTTAAGGGAATCTAGTGTCTCTAAGCCGTTAGTGTCTTCGTTGACTAAGGAGGAATTCAAAGTGTCGAAATCCGAAGCCTAAATGATGAGCTTTATTCTAGTGCTTGAGGTGAACGATAAGACGACTAATCTACCTAGAGTCATTCTGCTATTGTCAGAATTTCTAAATGTAATATCTGATGAGATACCACCAAGGTTGCCTCCAATGCGAGACATATAGCATGCCATTGACTTCGTTCTAGGAGCAGTCATTCCTAATAAGCCTGCTCACAGGATGAGTCTCCAGGAACATGCTGAAGTCCAACAACAAATTGAAGAGTTGTTGAAGAAAGGGTTAGTTCGAGAAAGTGTCAGCCCTTGTGCTGTACTTGTTCTTCTAGTACCTAAGAAGGATGAGAGTTGGAGAATGTGCATTGACTGCCAAACCGTCAACAAGATTACTATTAAGTATCAGTTTTCGATACCTCGGCTTGATGATATGCTAGGCCAGTTGCATGGTGCCACTACTTTTTCCAAAATTGACCTTCGTAGTGGGTACCATCAAATCAGAATTCAGCCAAGAGATGAGTGGAAGACCGCTTTCAAGACCAGAGATGGCTTATATGAGTGGAATGTGATGCCTTTTGGGTTAACAAATGCCCTTAGCACATTTATGCGCCTGATGAATCAGGTATTGAGACCTTTCATTGGCAAATTCATTGTTGTGTACTTTGACAATATTCTTATTTACAGTAAGAATCAAGAGGAGCATTTAGATCACTTGCGGCAAGTTTTGCAAGCCTTGTGTGAACAGAAGCTTTATGCAAATCTCAAGAAGTGCACATTCCTCACCAGCGAAGTTGTGTTCTTAGGATACATCATTATCGCAAAGGGTGTTCGCATTGATCCAAGCAAAGTTGCAGCCATTGACAACTGGCCAATTCCAAAATCTATCCAGGAGGTTCGAAGCTTCCATGAATTAGCTTCTTTCTACAGGCGGTTCATCCATAATTTTAGCTCAATTGCTGCACCACTTACAGACTGCACTAAAGGAGAGAAGTTTCAATGGACAGAGCAAGCTCAGAAAAGCTTTGAGGAGCTTAAGAAGAAGTTGACCGAAGCTCTAGTCTTAGCTCTTCCTAATTTTACCAAGTATTTGAAGTTAGCTGTGATGCTTCTAACACCGGTGTTGGTGCTGTCTTAAGCCAGGAGGGCCATCCCATTACCTTTTTTAGTGAGAAACTCAATGATGCCAAGCTCAGATATTCTACCTATGACAAGGAATTCTATGCCATTGTCCGAGCTCTTCAATATTAGAGTCATTATCTCCTGAATAAAGAGTTCATACTTTTTTCTAACCATGAGGCTCTCAAGTATTTAAATTTTCAGTAGAAGATCAATCGCAAACATGCTCATTGGAGTGAACTCTTACAGTCTTATCCATTTCTTATCAAACATAAGGTTGGAACTCTAAACTCCGTAGCTGATGCCCTTAGTTGTCACCATGTGCTACTTACAACACTACAAATCAAGGTTGTTAGATTTGACCTTGTCAAAGAATTATATCAAGATGATCTTGATTTCCAAGGAGTGTGGGAAGCAACTATAAATTAACCTTTCCACCAGTTCTACAGACACAATGGGTTTTTATTTCGAGGAAAAACCCTCTGTATTCTACAGGGTTCCTTGAGAGAAGCCATAATTTGGGAAGCACATGACGGTGGATTAGCTGGACATTTTGGATAGGATAAAATAGTTGAGCTGGTGAAAGAGAACTTTTACTGGCATCGACTTGAACGGGATGTCAACAGGCATATACAAAGATGCAGAATTTGTCACTTGGCTAAATCTAAGGGTCAAAATATCCGGACTATACATGCCTCTGCCAATTCCAGAAGCACCTTGGGAAGATATAACTATGGATTTTGTTCTGGGTTTACCATGGACTCAGAGGCAAAAAGATTCTGTCATGGTAGTTGTGGATTGTTTCTAAAAAATGGCCCATTTTATCCCATGCCAGAAGACCAACAATGCTGTTCAAGTAGCAGACTTGTACTTTAAGGAGATTGTGCGTCTTCATGGCATTCCTAAAACTATCACTTCTGACTGTGATGTGAAGTTTCTTAGACACTTTTAGCAGACGCTATGGAAGAAGATGGGAACTAAGCTCCAATTTAGCAGCGTTAGTCATCCCCAGACAGATGGTCAAACTGAAGCTATAAATAGGATTTTTGGTAATCTTCTTTGCAATTTTGTGGGGAAGAATTTGAAGCAGTGGGATCTTATTCTTGCTCAAGTTGAGTTTGCTTATAATAACTCTATCAATCAAGCAACTGGGAAGTGTCCATTTGAAGTTGTTTATGGCACTCGTCCCCTTAGTCCATTAGACTTGAGCCCTTCACTTGATAAGCAGCAATATAGCTTTGATGCTGACCAAAGGGCTAAGGAAATTAAGAAGTTGCATGAGCAAGTCCACAAGCGAATCCAAAAGCAGAATTTGAGATACAAAGCTCAATGTGACAAGCATCGAAGACAGCAGACTTTTAAGGTAGGAGACTTGGTTTGGATACATCTACGAAAGGAATGATTTCCTAAACAGCTAAACACCAAGTTGTCCCCAAGAGCTGATGGTCCGTTCAAGATAGTGCAAAGGTGGAATTACCTGGTTCTTATGGTGTATCTGCCACCTTCAATGTCGCTGATCTATCTTCGTATGTTGATAAAGATGGTGACTTTAACTTGAGGGCGAGTTCTGCCCAACCCAAGGAGGATGAAACGGAAAGAACAGAAACGAGCTGAAATGGAAGGCACATATATAATGAAGCAGAAATGAAAGACACACACATAATGAAGCATAATAAACTTTTTGTAACCTTCCTTTAATTTCTGTAACCTCCCTTTAAATTTGTATGGTTCAGTTTCACAAATTTCAGAACTATAAATAGGACCCTTGTGGCTGTGTAAGAGGTAGACTTGAAAAGAATAAGAATTGCTTGTTTTTATTTGGTTTCTGTGCCACCTACTAAGCACATTCCAACTGATTCTCAAATGGATGGATCACATGCCAATACTTTACCACAAGAGAACTCTCCAACTAAGTTGTCCCCTTTTGATGCAACTTCCGGTGCGAAAAAGAGGAAGCGAAACAGCACTGAAGCTCAACCTTCCATGCTTGAAGGCATGAAAATGATTGTTCAAACACTAGCTGATGGGTTGAAGGAGTCATCTGAGCATTTTGGCATGCACCTTGATAGAGTTGAACGTGAGAAACGTATTGATGGCATGAGGTCGTCTCTCCTTGTTGAGTTAAAGAAGGTTGAAGGACTTTCTCACTAAGAACGTCACATTGATTCTGACCTACTTATTGTACTCAGTGACTTAGTACAATCTTAGAAACATAGGCAGTGCAAATTATGAATTCACATAAATAAACCTATGCACTCAAGATAAATAATAGAACGTAAATATGTTTTCACTTTTCAGGTATCAAGCAGGCATTTTATCCCAACCCATTCAAGAAAACAAAAAAGAAAGACTATCAGCAGCACACCATAATGAGACCAAAAGAAGATTTTAGTCACCTTTATGCAGCTTACTACAGCATTAGTCTAAGTTAATTAAATATCCGATCAATCTTTTCATCAAAAAATTTCTTATTCAGATATAGAATGGGCCAAAGAAGAACCTGATAAGCTGCAATTGGCAAAGGAGAATTATCCCTCAGCAACCTTATGATATCCAAATAAGGAAAACCAGGTTTCACCTGCAGATACATTAACCAACCAAGAGGATATCTGCTCCTTTAGATTCATCTTCCCTCATCTCAGTTAAAGCCTCTTGTAATTTGCAAGATTCATCTGATAACTTTATGTTGGCCAGCCAAGTTTATAAGCAAAGTCAACATCAACAACCTACTAAGATATATGATTGAAAGTTTTAGTTAAACAGAACATATGTACATATGTCTTTTTATCCCATTCTCCACAGGGAATATATATTCATTCACAAGGCCATTTAAATTTATTGAATACTAGAAAAGTAAAAAGTAGTTCATCTCTTGTTGATTTAGGGTTTCGAACACTTTGAAAAATTGCTAGAAAATTTATTCTGCTGTTACTAGCTAATTATTAAAATATTGAGTTGAGGTATGATAAAAATAAAATAAAACAATTGATGGTGGGGATGATTGGCTGCAGGGAGTGCGGGCATTTGTGGAGTTATCAACTGCGACAATGGTAGTATCATCCTTAGACTTTGAGGAATCGCTGGACTTCAACGACATGGTGGCTTACCCGAGAGCCTGCTCCTCCCTCTGATTCGACCTCTCAAGTCGACGGCCAAGATCGGCTCTTGCTCTTCCTCTCGCTTCTCCTTCACCGTCTCCTATCACTTCGACTCCCTCAAGCCCTAGTACCTAAGCTTCACCGACACCTCAGATTCCAAGGTGGGCCCTACTAACCTGGGCCCCTCGCTCATCTCCCTGCTCAACTGCAGAGTCCGAAGTAAATCAAAGGCAGAGTCTGAAGGCTTCAAAGCATACCTGACACGCTCTCCTTGGCTCTTCATTTTTGACTTAGAGGCGCTTACGAGTTGATGGAGCTAAGAGAAATCAGAACGGCACGAACGAAACCCTTCACAATATGGAGGTCGACGATCGAAAATGGAAGCCGGAGATCTCTTGAGTTCACCGTCACAGAAGTTCATCTGTGAGAAGAAGAAATGATAAGATAAAGGGATGAATATGATCACGTTTGGTTTTTATTTTCTGTTTTTATTATTTTAAAGGGTATCTTTATCTTTTTATAATTTATATTTAAGTAAAAAATAAAATGAAATAAGGTATTCCTTCAAAATATTCCTACATACCAAACATAATTTTTAACTTTATTCCCAATCCCAATCCCAATACTAATCCCTTAAAACTGAAACCTGCGTACCAAACATGGCCTAAGAGTATTTACGAGACGCAACCGCATTGAGACACCTTCATCTTGTGTCCTATCTCAAAAAAAAAATCAAGATTAAATTTTAATTTTGCATTCCATTCCATCCTAAAAGTCAAATCAGAACAAGATCGAAACGTTTCATTATCTCAATAAATGAAATAATATTAAAAAAATTTAAATAATAACGTTCATTAAAATTTTAAATCATATAATTATTAAGTTTAAAAATCAAAATAATACAAATACATAAATCACAATAATTTAAAATTAATTATTGAATTATATTAATCACAATTGCACATTATAAAAGCAAATACAAGTATATTTAGGTTATAAGAGTAGCAACAACAAACAAGTCAAGCATAATATAAAATTATTGTTCTTCTACTTTAATGAAGATGTACTAAGCTAATTACTCTTCTGAAAATAAAGCAAGAAATATGTTATAGATAAAAGTTATTAAATAGATAGATATAAGAATAAATTATATTAATATAATTAATATATTATAAAGAAAGATATCGTCCTATTTACTCATTGTTATTAAAATTATTAATATAAAAAAATTTACTTTTAAATAAGAGTTGCAAGTATTGAAATTATAATCGATATAATTAATATAAATATAAATTATATTAATATATTTAAAATAAAAAATAATATGTATATATATATATATATATTCAAGATGGGACGGGACGTCTCGATGGTAATCTCATATCCTATCCCGTCTTAAACTCCTTTTCTATCCCTTCTCGTAAAGTCTTATCTTGATTATTTTTAGGCCGTGATAAGACTCATCTGATATGATCAGAACGATATTAGACCAATCAGAATAAGTCCAAACTGAACACCCCTACTAACTACTCCCCTCGTTAACCTATCACTTTTACTTTATTTTTTATATAAATAAAATCATATTTTTTCATACACATTTATTATAATTTTTTAAAATTACTTTTCATAATTTTATTATTTATAATCACAAAAAATAATTAATGAATAATTGATTGACATAATTAATGAGACATATTTTATCTTAATTCTTTTATCTTTAAGTACCATTAATATAATTAATTAACTTTTAAATTATGTGATACAATTTTTTCCCCTATAAATAAAAATGGAAGGAATATATCATTGTCATGCTTAGCTAAAATATTATTGAATAAAACAAATATGTACTCAATCATCAAATTACTTATATATATATATATATATATATATTGCATGAAACACTCAATCATCAAATTTTACGTAAGAACATATAAAATAGATATATTATCCATAAGTGATGAGTAACACATTTTTAACTCTATTAAATCTTTTTTTAATTGCTCACATTTATATATCTTTTTATTAAAAAGTATTTATTTAAAGCATGATCAATTATAAATATAAGCATCTTTTTTTAAGAATTCATACTTTTGTTCGTCAAGTTATGGGATATTAGCTTTTTTTATCATATCAAACTCTGTTGATTAAAACTTTTTTTAATTCTTTCCACACATTTTTTTTATATACAAAAACAGCTAGCTAGGGCTAAAATAGTCTTGCTCAAGTAAATTACTAATTATTAGTGGGTCACTAAAGTGACGACAGCCAAGCCACTAGTTCAATTTTTTTTGGGCGAGGAAAGAGTAGTTGTTAAAATCTAAATTAATGTTAATATTAAAGATAAATTTGTTAATATAGAAAGCATTTTGTTAATTTAATCACTCTCTTTATTTTTTATTATTAAAGAACGTATCACTTTTCACCTATATTTTTTATAAGCAAAATCACTTATTTTAATAAGCATTTATTATACATTTTTTAAATTACCTCTCATAATTTACTTTAATGAAAAATAATTAATGCAAGCTTATGTTAATTAATATAAGCATTTTAATCTAACTTTTTTAATTTTCAAATATAATTATTATAGATAATTAAATTTTTTAAACTGTGTAATATATTTTTTTTTCTTATACATAGAAATAGATGGAGTATGTAATGACAAGTATGTTTTCTTGCTAAAGCTAAAGAAGTCTTGCTCAAGTAAACTACGAATTATTAATGGGTCACTAAGTGATGAAAGTTAGGCCACTAGTTCAAAGCTTTTCGGGCAAGGAAAGAGTAGTAGTTAATGCCTAAACTAATGTTAATATCAAAGGTAAAATCGTTAATATAAGAAGTATTATTATTAGTTTAGTTATACAATAACAAATATGTTTCTTACATTAATAACTTTATCTTAGTGATTAACAATTTCAGTTTAAGTATTAACAATACAATTAATTATAACTTTAATTTAGTTTGATTTAGTTATGCAATAATGAGCATGTTTTTTATTAATAATTTCTATTTAGATATTAACAATACAATTAATCATAACTTCAATTTAGTTTTACGATAATAACTATGAATGCTTTCTCTATTAACAATTGTATTTTGAAACAAATAGATCGTTTCTTCATAACGATCCGTCTCTATTTAACACATGTCAATTGCTAAAAGTCAAAATTAAACTTAGGAGAACAAAGCAACACATGCTGATCTCTCGCTTGCTCTCGCTCACTCATATAATGAAGCTACCCTGTTAGCAGTACGACACATGTGAATCACCGAGGCACACCTGTCCCTTGGCAAAATGGATTGGATTTCTTCAATCAGATTGTTTGTCTTGGTGGATACTAACATCTCCATTCTTCACGAGGTCCACTGCATCTTGTGAATCAGTTGCAATCATTATTTGACGTAGTCTCAAGCGCCATGCATGCTTGGTGCCCATTAAAAGTGCCCATAATTCTGCACTTAAACAGTCCATTCCAATTACCTGACCAAGAGTGAATCCAAAAATGAAGGTCCCTTGGTTATTCCGTATCACTCCTCCGCACCCGCCATACTGTGATCGAGTTGGGGTTAAACGGCCCATCTACATTGATCATGCACCAATCCTTTGGGGATGGTGACCATCTTGTCGCACTATTACTTGGTGTTTGCCCATATCCATTCAATTTTAGAGGTGGTGATTTGGGTTGAACCTATGGGCTTAACTCACTAACCTACTAAATAGTAAAGGGATGGGTTAGCAAAACTGAGTTCACTTATATGCGGGTAGGGTTTTGACCCGCCTCGCATAATTTGAACTCACAGTGGGCTAACCTACGGGTTGGTGGGTTAGCCCACAAGTTTTTTTTTTAAAAAAAAAAATTTGACTCTTCTCAAACCTTTGTGAAACAAAACAAAACCCTTGCCTCCTCATTTAGTTTCACTTTTTATTCTCAAAGTTGCTTCCATTCCTTCTTTGTCCTTACTGCGAGTCATCATTGTTGTTGTCAGTGTTGCCTCGTCGTCATCGCAACTCACCTCAGTCCAAACTCTAGCGACCAGCAACATCAATCCTCCTCCCTTCGAAGTCACTCAGGCCTCGACTCCAGCCTATATCCTTTTGCCATGCAAATCCATGAATTAATTTAAATAAAAAAAGCTTCCCTGATGTAGCCCTTTTTTTCTTTAACTATATTGTATTTTCCTTCTCGTTTGGCAGAGTCACATGATAGTCTAAAAGTGCTAACAAGTTGGCATGCAAAGAATAGCCTATATATATATATATATATATATATATATATTTTTGCATTTTAAATGATAATTAGTTATTAACTTATTATTCTTTCTTCAAGTTTTGTCTCACTCGTGTCCAGAGAGTGGACATATCAATACTTGGTAATAATTTTGGGACCTATACTAATTATGAAAAATAATTATAACTTAAAGCTTCAGAGAAATAAGCTCAAATTAATATTATTGCAATTTTTGACAAAGCTTTTAACATTATTATTGATTAAGAAAAATTTTCAGGTTTTGGATTGTAATTTTAATGATTTAGAAGGAATTTTATTATTATTTGAATAATTAATTTTTAGAAATAAAATATAATATTTTTTTACCATAAAAAAATGAAAATATGTGAATTTATAATTTTTAATACTAAAAAAGTTTAAAAAAATTATTTTACTAACAGGTTGGCAAGCTGGTCAGAAACACAACCTGCCAAAATACGAGTTATGCCAACTTGCACTACATTACCGACAACCCGTAGGCTACAAATTAGCTCATATTATCAACTCCATTCAGTCTGCGACTTTTCACACTCATGCCTCCTATATGTTAAAGAATCGCCTAGGCTTGGGCTCGAATTTCCTCATTGAACATTTGCTTACCTTCAAAAATACAAGCATTCCTATGTTTCCATATTAGCCTGCATAGAATAGTGAAGAGAGCACTCCAGTCATCATCCTCATCATTAGCAGAATGTTTGAGGTTCCACTTAAGCTAGGTTTTGGTCTCCAAAGAGAAGAAAAGATTGCACTTTTTTGGTTTAGCCACTGAGCTCCAGAGTTCGTATGTTAATGGACAGTCCAAGAACACATGAATGACGTCCTCATGATACTCCCTGCACTAAGAGCACAAGCTTTCGGTCGTCACTTTCCATCGACACCTTTCCTTGTTCGTTAATAGCCAGTCACATAGCCTGATGGACCTAAAAAAATTAATTAGTAGGGGTAAAATTTACATTTAAGAATAAAACCTATATATTTTGCTTTATATACTTAATATATTTATATCAAATTAAATCATGACATGTGAATTTTAATATATTAATTTAAGTAATAAAAAAATTTATTGTAGAAAAAATAATATATAAAAGGTTAACATATCTTGATTTAATTAGATACAAGTACCTTAAGTATATAAGCTTAAGTGTATAAGTTTTTCCCTACATTTAAAATAAATATTAATTTTTTTAAAGTATAATATTTTTAATGTTTATTAAATTAAATTAAAGATAAAATTTATAATAATAGAAAAATAGTAATGTCTTTATAAACCAAATTTTTTATACTATTTTTTACCAAAATTTTTAATAATATAAAATAATACTATTTTTAATTTTATTATTTATTAAATAAAATTTATTTGCTTTCTTTTTGTATAGTACAAAAAGTTTTTGGATAATTTTTTTATGTATGCCATTAAAAAAATTATTTTTTAATTATTGTTTCCTCCATTCTAGAAGTATTTTTATTTAGGGAGAATGGCAAAGAGAGCCTCAGAAAAGGGGAAAAAAACAATGAGAGCCTTGAATAATCAAGGATTTATTTATATCATATATAGATGAACCTTTTTGAGTTGTTTAGAGCTCTCACTATTTTTTTCTCTTCTAGAGACTCTCACTAGCATTTTTCCTTTTATTTAAGTTTATTATATATAGATAAGTTTTTGAATCAAATAAATTTTAAGGAAATGAGTGAAAAATTTTAAGGAGACATGATTTTCTTATAGTGGGGATAATTGAAAATTTTTCAAGGTAAAATTTTTAATTTTTCCCTTATCTAGTGGGGGCAAATACCCCTTCCATGGTGCATGAAGGTCCGTCCCTATTATAAGAAAGTTTCTACCATAAGAAAGTTTTATATCTTTGCGAAACCTTATCCTTTCATATCTTAACTCAATTAAAACCATGGCTTGCTTGGTGCGATACTCTAAAATTCCATACCAATGTTTCACAGTTTTATGATTTATTTAAGCAAACTTAAATTATTAAATACTTATTGTGGTAAAAAATGGTCTAATAGTAATAAAGAGTAAAATTTACTTTTCAAATGTTACCATGGTGAATAAAAGTTTACCATGGTAGAGGAAACTTTAGATAATATTTTAAAACCATACCATGATAATTAAGAATAAAATCTTTTTTACAAAACTTATCATAGTAGAAAAATTTTCTCTTACATTAAAACCTTTCATAATTAGACTATCATAGTATAAAAGATTTTACTACGATAGAAAAGAATTAAATACAGTAAAGTAACTCTACCATGATAATTAGAAAAAATGCATCTATTAGAGTGCATGTAATGAAATCCCATTAGAATGTCACAAGTTTGTAAATGATAAAATAATAATCAGAGTATTTAAAAATGAAGCATGGTTTTCGGGGAGCAAATTTGCCCAAAAATAACTTTAAAAAGGGGATAACAAGGTAAAAGGACTACTTTGAAAATCTATTTTCAAAGTAGAGCATTTTTGGAAACTCAATTATGTTCGTCGCTGTGAATTACATAGAGGACATCTGTTGTGGCAGATTACACAGAGGGCAGTGCCCTCAAAGAGAGCCATGTATCATGGCATGTTTAACAAGTGTCATGACATATGGCATGGAAAAGACCTCCCTTCTTTATATACCCGACACCCTGTGCTACATTAGTATTGTGCAGAACTGTCCAATATTCAAAACTTTAATCAGACATAACTTTCTGCACACAACTCCATTTAGAGTTATTTAAGTATCCACACAAAACTTATTTAAAAATCTAGTAATGACTTTGGTTTGGCACAAAAACTCATCTATATAAGAATTTTATCTACAAAACTCATTTTTAAGGAAAAACTACAACTTCCAAACACCCCAAGCACCTTATAAACCTAAGCCCAAAGCCTTATCCTATTGTGTGGAATACTTGATCTACTCACCCACATTAAGCAACAATTTATCATTTTCACTAGGCACATGCATGTGAAATAGCAACCTAATGCAATTATGTATGTGTGAAATGCAGCAACATACTCAAATTATAAATATCTTTCATTCTAAAATTTGATAATCATAGATCATAATTTGAGATGTCATGAATGTCACAAAAACCAACTTTATGGCAATTAATTACAAGTTTGTATCAATAAAGAGTTGCATGCTCACAAATCCCAAAATGATGCCTTAGAGTTGGCAAATAAACATTACATATGACTAAATAAAAAGCAGGCCAATTAGGCCAATTAGTGTCAACTCACACCAAGCAAGGCTTTTGGTGCTTATTTAGCCAAACTATTCCCTATAAAAATGTCAACTATAGGGAGCGAGATGCAAAGGTTTTAGTAACTAAGATTAATATGCAACGATACATGCAATGCAACCTATCATATGATTGCTAAGTAGGGTACATAAGATGATTTTCAAACAATGTATATTTGACAAGAAAACCAAACAATTTATTTTTAGCATGACAACACCTTATATCCCTCCTATCACTGTGCGTAAAACCAAATCACCTGGGTAAAGGTAGGTTGGTCTAAACTAATAGCCACTTATTAGGTTCAATGAGGGATTATCACATGGTGGAAAATTAACTCTAGACAAAACATACCTAGGTAACACATATATTTCCAAACAAATCCAGAAGAGTCATGCTTTCAAACAATCCAAAATATATATATATATATATATATATGATCGAACAATTTATATGCTTCCAAACAATAATTATTTTCAAACAAAGTACATATATACATATGTAATATTCCTCCCACTTGGCAATTATTTTTTCAAACAATAAAATATGTTTTCTCAACAGAATTTACTTCTAACCAATGCAAACACTCACATTACAAATTACAATGCACACACAATCATACATTAATAATGGTTATCTTGTCTCCTTACTAACAAAGCTTCCCAAACAAGAGCACTTTCACCTTCATCAATATTTTTACCACAATTTACATACAACATAATACTAACTATAGTTAATAGAGTGCTAATTAATACTAATTAAGATGTCTACATACTAATCACACTCTAATCATAGGGTTAGGTTAATTAACCTCCTTAATCCAAATATATCACAACTATTTAAATCCTTAAACTCACTTGAAATCGTCATTATTTTACTTCCTTAAATATTTAATCAACCATTTTCATGACCCAAATCATCATTAAATCACCCAACCAAAACTAGGTTTCAGATTCAACCCTTTCGTCTTTGTAAACAACACTAAAACAACTTAGACTATACTTATTTAACTTTGAAACACCTATTGGATTGGGACCTAATGGTTGAGTACCCATAAAAATGAAACCCCAACATCAAAAAC